TACACGACGCTCTTCCGATCTATTTAATTTCGAGATTGTCTTGTGACGAGATTGAAATTTATCATCACACTGAGGCACCATTCGTTCTCCAAAAATGTACATATGCAGGAAATTTTATATTTTACCTGGACAGGAAATTTTTATTTTGGGAAGAGAAATATATTTTCTATATAGGCCTGCTGTATACATACATTAAAATTAAAGATCACGAAGAAGATATCAAAGTTTACATACCATTTTTCTCAAGATATAATTGGATTTCAAGAATTGCGCCTGGAGCAAAACCTGCTTCCTATTTTAAAACGAAAAATCGTTATTTCACAATATATAATATTAGGATTAGAATTGAGAAACATAGCCATAGAATGTGCTCTTCAAAACTTGAATTGAGAATCCTGAAGTTACTGGCGAACTGCAAGAATGATATAGAAGCCGTGGAGCTAGCTATCTAAGCCTGAAGGTACTGCCTTAACACATAAAATCTGCAGGCATGCAGGTTGAGATTAGGGTTGTATCTAAATTGAGATTGTTAATACAGTGTAATTTCCGTATATTATACAAATTTCACTTCTCAACCTGAAGTGTATTCTTCAGCTCATTCTTCTCAGCACAAAGAAGAGTATCCTGGAAAACAAGAAACCACAATTACTACAAATAAACTATCACGATTCTCATTAACTCATACTAAACACCAAATATTTCCTACCCGGATTAAATTGTCCTGGAATTTCTCCAACAAATGGCTCAATTCTAGATCTGATAACATTCTCTTAACGTTTTTATATGCGTCATCTACGAAAAAATAAGAAAATTTAACTCTATATACATATAAACCCCGATGGCCCTGGTAAGATGACCCTGGGAACGAGGTTGGGGTTTACACGTCATCCAGTCAGACATCGTATTTTACCAATCATCGCTCGGATTTACACTACTATACAAGAATGATGCTTGACGAATCTTCCGTCTACGAGAGCTCTCGACAAACCAGCGTCTTTGTTTAAACTTACATACTACGTAATCTATCTATAATACTCATAGATATATTACATACTACGTAATTTATCTATAATACTACATAATTTATCTTACATACTACGTAATTTATCTATTTTTGACGATTTATCTGTCTGTGTATATAATTATGGCCAACAGCAATCTCGTTCCCTGAGCCTGCGATCCTCGGGAAGGAACGCGAGGCTCTGGGATAATCCGTTGCCGGAAGCCAGGAATTCTGGCTAAGATTGAACTAC